ATTTTCCCAAGCTTATAATTTCCCCATCCACCTTAATCCCTCTCTCTTTCCTCTTAAATAAACAACTGACTCCAGCTACTTTTTCCCTTCTGATCCTAATTTTGGCAAACCACATTCAGTATTTCTGGTACTGTAACCTATGTCATTTAGGCTTTACATGGTGTTACTGAAAATGGTAACTTAGGCACTGTTTTCCATTCAAGACTGTTCTCCCCAGCAGCTCCCTACTATTCCCTTCCATGTACCTGTGGACCCTGCCCTCCTCTCACGTAGCTCCCAGTAACAATCTGAAATCCAGCCATTTCTCATGGTGTTATTCTGCAAAGTTTGTCAGCTGCTCACTCTGTTATTTGTTAAAGAATCATAGAATCCTTAGAGTTGGAAGGGACCTTTAAAGGTCATCTAGTCCAACTCGCTTGCAATTAACAGGGACATTCACAGCTAGATCAGGCTATGTTCAGCAATTTCTCTTCTCATGTCTGGCATTTCCTAATATGTCTGATGCAGGACAAAGACAATGTAAACCTTAAATCAACATTCATGGATAAATTCTTGAAAACAGAATTCAACTGCACTTCCCATAAGTGGTTCTCTGAGACTAAAGAGACAAAGAAGTATATTGAATAAACTACAGCTTTCAATTCTATGGAACCACATTCCTGGAAGCAAGGCTAATCTCTTGTGCAGAGAAAAGCAAGGGAACAGTCTTGGATTTAAAGCTTAAGAGGAGCTGTTACAGAGCTTTAAACAAATGAAAGATACTTCCAGAAATTTAGAAAAGGAACTAGATACAACCTGGCCAAGGATGTTGGCATTGTCTGAGTTGCTAAGCAACTGGATAATAGTTACTGTTTTCAAGATTAAGTAAATTTTGTAATTTAAGGAATGAATTACAGCCTAGTATGTATTATTTAGAGGAAATCAAAATATACTTTATAGTGATATAGTACTTCTTCTTTTTGGCTGTACAGTAGTCTGACAACACCATAATTAAGAAATAAGAATTCTTTAATCCAAACTTATGTACCGAATTTGTGCCTTCTTTCCTCAGTTTTTCCCCTTGTCTTGAGATGCATTAATGTCACCAGTCCTGAAGCTTATGTCTATGACTCCAATCCTCCTTTCTTTATTGGATCTGTATCTCTGTAGTTGTCAGTACATGACAGAAAGATTTATTATAGTAATCAATGCTCTACTGAAGGCACAGCATCATGTTTGATGCTTATGAGATTTATGAGCTAAAATGAATTGTGGGTCAACATAGATGTTAACTAGCACCAAAAAAAGCTGTTGGAATCATCCTGGAATGCTATTATTGTTATTGTTATTTTATTCAGAATTGTGACTTATTAAAATCATTCCCAGTTGGTAGTGCTGGAATATACAACAAAGTGTATTCGGGCATTGTGAAGGTTGTTGTACAGTCTGGAGATAAAGTTTAAAAATGAGCAGCATAACCAAAGACACAGGATAAGAGAGGGAAGTATTTAAGAATACACCAATAACTGAATTCTCGTTCAGGTTGAAGTGTCTGTTTTTACCTTTTGCGGTTTTTAGCACACTGTGAATACACACCATATGCTTCACGGTAATAAACTGACCATTATGTAGTCTATCAAATGAATCGGTTCCGTTTTCGGTTGCACCGTCAGCACAAGGGCCAAATGCTGATTGTCGACGGGTGGAAAGCAGAGGGGTCCTGCAGCTCTCCCGCAGCTCTCAGCAGATGGATTTACAGCGCTCACGCACCCCATTCACCTGCCTTTATACGGCAGCCTCCTCACGCGGCACTGCGCACCGCTCCGTGAGAAAGGAAGGTGATTAAACACGCGCCGTCTACCCGGGGATTTGTTGATGTAGTAATGAGGGAAGGTTTATTGCGGCTGCTAGTGGAGGGCGAGCAACAGCAGCACAACAGAGCCTCGAAGCACGCGGCTGCCACGCACCAGCCCCGACTCCCGGCTGCGGCTCCTGCTGCTGCCCGCAGCACCTTGGTGGGCCGGCCGCTGCCATGGCAACGCGGAGCGGCAGAAGGCAGAGGCCTGACAGCCGGGCACGAGGAGCAGGTTGAGTGTTCAGGCTAATTAAAAGGTTTTGTGTGCGGGGTCACCTTGTGAATGAGATACGATGCTCAGAAAGCTGCAGCCAGCGCTGCTCGGCAGAAAGTGGAACAAATGCACGGAGGTTTTTTGGCGTTTGCCCTTTCTTGATCGCAACCTGTAATTCTCATGGTAAGCAATTGAAGTGGCTCTGAAAAATTGGTTGCTGGGTCATCTTGCTTAGCAGACAAAAGTCGTTTTCTTGTAAGCCATTCACACCCTCTCTGATGAGTGGTTTGATCAGAGGGGCTTCTACCCTCAGAATCTCTTCAACACATCTGATAAAGTGCATTACAATTAACTTTAACGAAGCCTGAATGAAATTGATTTGAGCAGCTTTGCAGGCTAATGCTGCTCTGAAACATTTTGTCATTTCAATCAGTTCAGAGATCTTTCAGTTTCAGGGTGGCATGTTTTCCAAACACTCACATGGAGCATCTCCAGTCTCCCTGAGAAATGGCTGTGGAGACGTGCAGCTTCGCTCCTACAGCTGCTCCTCCTCTGGCCTACGTTTATGTTTCTGATTCACCTTATAAATCTGCAGCTTGAGACACACCACTAGACCGTTGTGAAAATTAGTGTTTTTCTAAGCACTTTTTTCCTGTCTACACAGAAAATGAAGGGACATTTTCTTTACATGCCGCAGTGTGAAATAGAGCTCCAACAAATCTCTAATGGCATTCACCATGCAAAACCTCTATAATCACAGAACTATAGAATGTTAAGGTTGGAAAACACCTCTAAGATCATCTAGTCCAACCATCCACCTATCACCAACGTTGCCTACTAAACCACGTCCCTGCATACCACATCTACTCTTCTATTGCACACCTCCAGGGATGGTGACTCCACCACCTCCCTGAGTAGCCTGTTGCAACGCTTCACTGCTCTTCCTGAGAAAAAGTGATCCTAACATCCAACCTGACTCTCCCTCAATTGCAACTTGAAGACATATCTTCACATTCTATCAAATAATTTGGACAGTAACATAGGATGTATTTACAGTGGGGGGGGGGGGGGGGGAAAAAATCCCAGAGAACAAGGGCCAACTGCTCTGTAAGGGACAGGGAGCCATGTGTGGTGCAAATCCAGCAGTATTTGTGTTGCTCGCATAATGACAAACAGAAACAGCATTTCTTTGGTAAGTTTTGTAACTCATTTGTTTGCAAAATTTGGAGCCCAAATAAATGAGAGAAATACAAGCATTTTTATTAACTTCTTCTTTTCTCCTTTCACCATAACCTCAGTGAGTTCAAGCATGTAATAATGTTGGTTCTTTTCTCTCTGTTTGATCAAAATAGAGCAGCAAATGAATTTTTGTGTGGGGCGAGAGACGATCAGGGGACAGCCTCATGGCACAGCCTCATGGCAGCCTGCAGTTTCTCACAAGGAGAGTGGAGGGGCAGCACTAATATTTGTTGCCTGATGACAGTGATAGGGCCTGAGGGAATGGCATATAGCTACACTGGGAAAGAGTAAGGATAGAACAGATTCTTCACTGAGAGGCTGGTCACATACGACACCCAGTAGTATCCACTGGTCAGGCAAGGGCATGTGGCAGTACCTGTGCTCAAGAGCAGCCTTTCTACATAGTGAAATAACATAGGGTAGCCATCCCCAGGGAAGGGGCACCTGGTTCCCCTCAAACCTCCTTGTCTTCCACATGAAGATATCTCAGACCACGGAGGTGGATCCTCCACAAAGTGCCAAGAGGCCCAGGCATGCCAGGTGTCTAGGAAACAGTGTAGAGACCAGGCATGCCAATTGGTTAGGGAACAAGAGGCCCAGGCACCGCTACCATTTAGAGAACACTGAGAAGCGCAGATGTGGACATCATTCAGAGAATGACATGGGGCACATGATGGTGACCAAAGAGACAGCAGCATGGGCCAACATTCAGAGAACAACCAGAAATCAAGTCATATCTACCATTCAGAGAATAGCCTGGAAACAAATTGTGTCTACCATCAAGAAAATTGCAAGGGGTCAAAGCAAGGCCTCCATTCAGATTACAGTGTGAGGCAAGATATGCAAAACATTCAGAGAGGAGCATGGTGCACCAGCAGGACCACCACTCAGAGCACAGCAGGAGGGTAGGTCATGCCTGTTTCTAAAAGAAAGAGATTCTAGAAAGTTGATGAGGTTTTGTCCAGGTGCATGTTTGGGGTTTTTTTTAGGGAGGCAAGAGGACAGGGAGGTCAGATGGGGTTGGTTGAGCTTCTATCTTCTGTGTAAAAGTAACCATTTGACTATAAAGCAAAGTAACCATTTGACTATAAAGCAAAGTTTGGCAAGTGATTTAGATGACCAAATTACAAAACTGTGGTCTCCTCTTGTGTCTGACATCAGAAAAGAGCAAAGACCTATGGAACTTCTCAAAAAAATGCAGCTATGCAGGAAAAAAGCAGACGTTTTCCTCCTAAATTATGCTTCATTGTTGTTTCCTCAAGCACTGTATCTAGAGTATCCATTGTCATCTCAAGCACAGGTTCACGAAGCCAATTGTATGAGCTTTGACAAGACCAAATACCAGGTCCTGCACTTTACCCTGTAGTTTATAGACATAGAATTCAAATCATAAGGACAGCCTACCTATTTTGTTTTTTGTTTGTTTTAGTTTCGTTGCCTGTGCCCTGTATTCAGTCTACTGTCTTTAGAGGTGATAGGTGCAAACCATATGCTTTTCGTCAAGAATTCCTCCAGCCCTGATAATCAGGAAGAGCATGCAAGGGAAAAAACAAAGATCCCCACCAGCCAACTATGGAAGCCAAAATGCCAAGCTTACATCATCTTCAAGTTTTGATGCAGATTTCATTTCTATTACTGATACCAACAAATATGCCATTTTTTATAGCTTTCAATTCATTCTCTAAAGAGCAGCACACAAAAGAAACAGTAGAATTTCATTTTTACAATTTTTTATTCTTCAACCTGCTTACAGAAACTAAGTAGAATTTAACAAAGGTCTACATGAAATATTATACAAAATATCAACATTGCTGAGGAGCTAATCCTGAATGTGCTCCCTTTCGATATCAGCCATCTGCACTGCAGCTTATAGAACAAAACAAATATCTCAAGGTTTTCTTGGCTGCAATTCATTATGACACATGCAAACTGGAGCCCATGACAGGCTCCTGTTCAACAGAATTTGGCAAGATAATAAGAGTCAATTGTTTGTACTGTAATTAAAAAAAAAGTTTACAAATGAAAAACAATCAAGTAGAATAACTGCATTTGTAAGAAACCCATAATCCTGGAGCACGCTCTTTAGAAAGCAAAAAAATCCCAAACAAAACAGCAACAACCACCATGATCTCCTGCTTCAAAACCACACTCTGCAGGAAATGCCATATAATTGCCTGCAAACTATCAAAACACCTCTCAAATCTTTCAAGAAAGAACAGAGTACCACAACAAGTTTCAACTGCAATCCATGAGTGAAAGTCTTCAGAAAGATGCATTACCTTCAGTCCAAAACCATGAGCAACCATCAAGCTCCTTCACATCCTATCACTGCCATTTTTAGTAGAGCTGTTAATGAAGTTTTTGGATACCCTGTTACTTCAGTCAACATTTTTCTTAAGAGTGGCACCAGTTCATAGAATTGACGTATTTTTAGAGCTATCAGAGGTCTACCTAAGGAGGAGGATCCTCGCCTCGGATAGCTTTGTACTTTGCCATGTCTTCTGGGAACACCTTTGTTAGTTCTTGAATTAATAGACTTTTAAATTTCTGGAAAGAAAAAAATATATATATGTACACATATATACATATGTATGCATGCACACCAACTGCATCATTGACTTAAGTTTTATTAAGTAATATTGTCCAATTAATAGAAATCTTTTGTACAGCAGTTCTACATTTCAGTGATCGAAGACAACGGTATTAAAAAAATCCACCACATGACATTTACAAAATTCAAAGAAAACACTAAAATGAAGTCTGCTAGCAAAGTATCAGGCAAACTAAAATACTAGAATACTTATACCTCTGATAAATTCTAGCATGTTCATATCTGCCTAGGATCTGACCTCTGCATCTCTAAGCAGCTTCTACTACATATTGTAATTTAGAAAATAACACAATTTGAAATGAAAATACTCTGGACTCATAGACTTAAGTTTCAAAATACTTTTTTCCTCCTTTCTTTTACTACCACTTTCCTTTCTGATGCTTTCCATGAAACTCCTGAGACAATTTAAAACTAAGAAACCCTCCCTATTGCATTCTTATCTCCTAGCATGGAAAAAAATGTGCTTTATTTCCCTTTACAATGCAAGGAGATGCAGGAAGTAGACAATAAGTGACATTATTGAAACTCAAGACAAGCATATTGTCCTCTTTCCACCCCATTACCAATCCAAGATGTCCCAAAAAGAACAAGAAGACAGATGAGAATTAAATCCATGCAGCTTAACTAAGACACCTAAAAACTAACCATAAACATTCAAAAGTTTATGGACTGGATGCTTCAGTCCATACATCCTTAATTGTAAAGGAGACTTGATTAGATACTTTTTTTTAAAATGTAAAGCTGATAAAGGACATGTTCACTTGATTTGGTACGCAAATAGCTCCACCTCCAAGAAGTACAGGCACCTGGTTTAGAAATGAATAATTCTTCCTACAACTTCTTTGAGCAATGAGCTTTATATCAAGAAAAAAATGCTTAAAACATACACAGAAGTGTCTACATTCTGCAGCACAAACTCCCATCCTCCATAATTTTAGAATTCAGCCTAAGAATGTTTTGAAACACAAATAACCCTTTAAGCCATAATAAACTTCTCTGATTTTCTCTTTCAGCAGTAGTCATCCACTAAGAACCTAAGCATTCTGGTATACCGTATATACAAGTACAGGTTCAGAAAACCCTAAATACTAGCATACATTTAAAGTCATTCAGTAAGGATTAACTTGTTCTTACATTGCACGTTCACCATTTTACTAGCCCAAGAACTACTCATGACTGTACAAATACCCCCCTGCTTTGCCTATTTCTAGATTTACACAAATCACTGTTACAAATCTGTAAGCATAAAGTACTCTGTAGTAATCAAAGCACACACAGTGAAGAGATCTGTTATATAGATCCATAGTAAAAAATAAGACATAGCAACATCAGTATCACCAGCCATAGAGTGAACTACAAGTTCCCTTTTCAGAACAGGTTGTAATGGCATTCCTGTTAAGATACAGGGATGCAGAATAATCCCTAACGCAAATCACCTAATAGGGAAACTTGATAACTGTGCAAGCAAAACCATGCACGTTTACAGAAAATAACTGGCCAGATGCATTATTATATTAGTACTTTCTCTATTTTTGGTTTTACCTTCATTGTGTCAATTTTTCCTTTTACTTGTTCATTCTTAGCCAAAGCTCTCTCCAGGCACTCCTTAGTGTAAAGCTGAGGGTTGCGACCTTGGTCTATGTATCTGAAAATACAAAAGATAGCACCTAAGCAATTATATTAGCACTAGAAAGTTCTCCAAGGAACAGAATTACTCATCCTGCTTTCTTTCTTGATGCTATACTGAAGTTTAAATGAGTTACTTTCAAAATACAACTCCAGGAAGCAGCTGTCACAGTAAAGGTAAATGTTTGTTTACAAAGAGCCTAGAGTTCTTAAAAATGTATTGAAACAGAGTAACCATCCATCTCCTCACAGACAGAAGTAAAAGCAAGGGGAAAGGTTCCCCTTCAAGCAACTAAAAGGGCATGAATCATAGAACAGCTTTGTTAATACGTAGCATGCAATCAGCACATAGGAATAAGACACCCAGTGATTCAAGGATGAGAGTGCACATGCGAGGGGTGCTCCAAAAGTAATGCCTCTTATTTTACCATGTTGGCATGTGGCTTCAGAGGAGGATGCCTGTGGTGTGACAGTAAAGGTGGAACCTTCCCACCAAATACTCCACCATTTTGTTGACATGTGAGAGATGGCAGCAGTGGCACAGTCTGACAACACTGAGCCTGACCAAGAAGTATGTATGAAACAAAAGGTGTATCATGGAATTCCTCCATGCAGGAATAAGTGCACCCACTGGCATCCACTGACACTTGCTGAACGTTGATGGACACCAGACAATGGATGTAAGCACAGTGAGGTGGTGTGTTCCAGTAGTGACAACAGTGGGTCACCTCCACCAGTGCAGATGTTTACAAGTGTGGCACACAGGCTCCTGCTTACTGGTGAATACACACAGCTAACAGCAATGACCCTGGTGTAAAGTAGCGTTTTGTAGCTGAGAATCTGCTTTATCAGCATTACTGCACTGTTTTCCTCTATCCTAGTTTCCACAGAAGTAAGTAGGAAGCATTACTTTTGGAGCAATTTACATATGGTAGTAAAAGCAGTACCAGCACTTGCACCAGGCAGCATAAGCCTATTTTTCCTTTGCTGCATTAAGCATTCAGTTAAGGGAAACTTCATCGCAGACAGAAGAGACAAGAAAAATGAATGCTGGATCATAGCAAAACAACAACGCCGGGACTTGCAATGGAACAGCTAAGTTAGATCATGCCTTTCACGTGAAAGCTGCAGCGCAGGGCCCTCCCTCCCCCTTCCTGCCAGCTCTCCGCAAGCAGGAAGCGCTCCCTGCCTGCTGGCACTGTGGCGGTAAGTCGGGAGACACAGAACTCCAGCGTGGGTGAAGCCACTCACTCGAACACTTCCAGAGGCACGCTGATGTCGTGAAGCTGTTGCCGGCACTTGTCGATGTCCTGTAGGCCCGTCACCATGAAATTCCTGCAGGGAGAAAAGCGGAGCCGCTTAGCACAGAGCTGGCGCTCCTCGCTCCCCGTCACCGCCCCAACCCCCGCCAACAGACGCCGCGAAAGCAGCGAGCGGCTCACAGCTTCTGGTTGAGGCCGGCCTGGCTGCTGGGCTGAAAGTCGCTGACGATGATGCCGAGCTGCCGGATGTTCTCCACGAACTTCTCCAGGTGCTCCTCAAGCGAGTCGAACTTCTCCGCCATCGCCATAGCGGCTCACAACGTTTCCGGGCCACAGCGCATGCGCAGATGGGGAGCGGGAGGAAATGCGACTATGCCGAGCCCTTTGTGTAGGCCACGCCCCCCACCCCGTAGGCCACGCCCCCTCGCCGTACGGCGCCCCCCGCACCGCCCTGATCTCGCTGTAGTGGGTGCGATGCGCGCTTGGTTTTTCACGTTATACAAAATCGGTACGGGGTTCCTGGTCTATTTCTAATTAACCATGTAATTAAGCTCCGTGCTTGCTTGCTGGAGCTCCGTGCTTGTTTCAACGCTGCGTTGGCCCCTATACACAGAATCACAGACTTGTCGGGGTTTATAGGGACTTCTGGAGATCATCAAGGCCACCCTTTGCTAAAGCAGGTTCCCTACACTGGGTTGCTCGAGGGATCCAGGCGGGTTTTGACTATCTGCAGGGAAGGAGACTCCACACCCTCTCTAGGCAACCTGTTCCACTGCTCTGTCACCTGCACAGCAAAGAAGTGCTTCCTCAGGTCTGCATGAAATTTTGTGTGCTCCACAAATACAGCTCCATGGCATTTACCATCATTTCATCAGAGCCACGGGACACTCCTGCAGCACGGTGATGTGCCCTGTCGGATGGCTCACTTTAATGGTGCTGCCCCTTTGTGAAAGTGCTGTGCTTCCCAGCTTCAAAACCGATGGAAAATGAATTCTGAACAAAAATAAGATCTATAAAAGCTAATTTGCACGAGTCAGTGTTTGCTTTGGGCTCTGCAGATTTATCAAATACACAACTGCAAATAATGAGGAGTATTTTTTACCCTAAAGGTAAATCAATACTAAATTATATTTAGCACCTCTTATAAACATCAGATAATTGGAGTTTGGCAATATGGATCATTCCGCAGCCCTTAGCACTGCTCTGTTTGCTGTTCTTTTAGAACTGTTCTTTTGGAACTGTTCTTTTAGCATTTCCAGGAATTTGTCAGTAGACCCAGAGGGATGGGATGCAACAATGTGATAAAATTGCCAGCATCTCTTCAGAAGGGATCAGGCTGGAAGCTCCCTGCTCAGTCACTGTTGCTTCAGCCTTCGTGAAGTGACAGCTGCATCTGGACCTCAAAGAGTCTTTCTGCCCAGCTTCCAAAATACAGCCCTCTCCATTGCTATAAAACTAAAATCCAAATCTCAAATACACTCTCACTGTGGTTTTTCAGTCATCCTGGTGCTGGGATCTTTCAGTTCCTCTGGCTATCTTGCTCTGTGTGGAAATTAAGCATTCTTTGAGCAGTGGAAAGAAAAGGTTTGATGTAACACATGAAAAGCAATGGAGGAGCCACTGAATGATTATCTGAGAAGGGCTCGTTATCTTCCCCATCTGTATAAGATCTCCAAATTATGTGTTTCTTTAAAATGTGTAAGAAATAGAAGTAACGGAGAAGTCCACCTGGCAATAAAAAACATGATGGGTTTAACTGGAGAATGACAAAATATCAGTCTCTGTTAAAAGTACCAGCTATCATTTTCCTTGTGGGAAGATTATTTGACATGTCTAAATTCCCCTGGCACATCACAATAACAGTATGTTTTATCAATAGCTTATTTCCAGTATACCTGTTTTCACCTGAATCTGAGAAGTAATGTCAGTTAGAATCAGAAGTCAGCCCTTTGTGTCTGACACTACCGCTGAGTTAAGTGGAGTTTGCTGTCAGGCTACAGCAGATAAGAACCTGATGCTTTGATTCACCATGTTATTTGAATGGATATTTGGATTAAAAACTAATACGGATATGATATTCAGTCAACACATAGAATGTATTTTAGACATTCATAGTTATAGCTTGCAGCCATTTCTGTTCAACAGTGAGAACCATCAAAATCAGCAGTACCTCATTTATTGACTAATTATTAGCTAAATTTTTCTTCGTTATATCCTATCAGTGAAAACAACAAAAATGGTCAGGTTTTTGCTCAGTTACTGTGCCAGTTAAGCAGCATAAAGCTGAGTCCTTGCTGAATACAAAGCACTGTTTCAGAGCTTATAATTTTAAGTATGCTGACGCAAAATTGAAAAGTGAGTGATTGCAAACAGCACTAAATATTAAGGGAAATATGGCAGTGTGCAAATGCTAAATTGTAAAAGCAATCCAAGACTGCAAGAAGCAATTAGTCAGTTCTTGTCCTGTCAAGTATTTTCACCATATAAATAAATCCATTGCCTATTGATCACCAGTTGCTGGCTGTTCTGCTTAATAACTGGCAGAATGTTCTCCAGAGAATGAAAGTTCCAGAATTATGAGATTATAACATGAGTACTTTGCAATGATTGCATGAGAAATCTTGCCTTGAGAAACAGAGTAGTTTTTTTCTAGTATTTGGAAGGGAAGAAATTCCAACATGGTGTATTTCAGATTAAATCTGAATATGAGCAAAAAGGAGAAAGAATTTGGAAGTAAAATCTAAATATATTTAGTTGTGTCAGATGTGGCTCCGCAGGCACAAGAAGCTGGAATTCAAACATGATATCCATCTTTGCTTAAGGGAAAGGGTGCTTTAAACATATCCAGTAGAAGTATGGAGCAGGCTAGCTTGCTTTAAATCCTGTAACAAGAATGGTCTTTGAGATACTGCTAAAGCTTCCTCTCCTCCCTCTTTGTGGAGTTGAGGAAACATGACTTAGTTTCTTGTGATGAGGGAAGTCTGCTCTGTGACCGTTACCCACTATAACTCAGTTAAAATATCTGAATGGAAGAAATAATAGAATTCAACCGTCAAATGTAGGGATATCCAGTTCATACTAAAGCAGTACTAACTAGGTTGGTTATTTGAGATTAGTGAATATTGTTAGATAAACGTGCATACAGTGATTTAAAATTAAAAATAGCTATAAATATACAACTAGTTATTAACTTCCTTGTTGCCCTACAACTTGGAGAGTATTTTCCTATTTGAGGGGGGAAAAAGGCAAAACAGAAGCTTGTGTTCCAAGGAGAGGTATAGATAGACAGAAGATAGATGGACAGATAGTCTGACACTTAATCAGTGAATCAGAAGGTATACAGACACAGAAAGATTTAGAAAGAAAATTGCATGGTTCATCATTTAAGTAATCATATTGCACACCTACCTTTATCTCCACGGAGAGAGCAGGAAATTACTGGCTTGTAAGCCAGACATCTGTACTGGGCAGTTAAGTAGAATTTGTAATAAAGCATAGAATGAGAGGCCATGTAGATCAGCGTGACCCATTTGGGATGAGTAGCACAAATTATGCAACAGAAAATCTTGTTTTTGTAAAATTCTAATGAATTTTTCAAGGGGTCGGCAAGCATGTGGATAAGAGAGCTCTAATTGATACAATCTATTTGAATTTCCCAATTGGCTTTTGGCAAATTCCTTAACAAAAGTCTTCTAAGGAACTAAAAGAATGGCATAAGAGGAGAAATCCTGGCATGAATGAAGAAGTAATTGCCAAATAGGAAAAACGGAGTAGGAACAAATATTTAATTCTTTCATGGGTGGGTGATTCCCAAAAGAACTCTAGAGGGATCTGTGCTGAAATGTGTGCCATTTGACGTGCTTGTCCATGACCCAGAAAATAAATCATACAGTGGAATGAGAGAATTGGTTTATGAGGTTAGTCTGGGGAGTAAAGTTGAGTACAGGTTGTAGGAAAGTGTAGAAGGAAACCTGGAGAGGCTTGGTAACAGCAAAAAAAATGTCCGAACAAATGCAAATAGTTCAGGTAAAATGACACACAGAGCAAAAAAAAAAAAAGTAAATTCATGACCTGATGGTGACTCATGGCTGATGGCCTCTTGCTCCACAAGATCAACACTCTGGGACAGCAAAAGAAAGTTCTGTGAAAATATCAGCTTACAGCTCAGCCGTGATCAGAAGTCGTACAGAGAGTTAGGAATTGTTAGGAATTTGAGGACAAAGTAGAAAATGTCATTATGACATTGCATAAATTCACAGTTCACCCCAACCTTGAATACTGTGTGCAGTTCTGGTTCCCAGGAGTAGACTTGGGAAAAAGCCAGAGAAGGGCTGCCAAGATGAAATGGCAGTATGAATGGTAAATAAGACATGGTTTCAGTACTAGAAAACTGAATAGGCAGGGACTTGTCAGCTTGAGTGAGAGCCCAATGAAGATGTCTTTAACAGAAGCTTTGCTCTATCTATACTGTCATGAGTGGTCTGGAAGATAAACTGTTTTTCCAGCACAAGAACCAGGACCCAGTGAGGCCAACAGAACACAAATTCAAAGCACACATACACCAAAGGAACAGGTGATTTTCGTCGTGAAAAGTTTAGCAGCCTTGGAGAATAACTTCCCAATTGATGCTACAGACAGCAAAAGCTTAATTGATTTGAAAGGGAAATGGAACAAATGCTTGGTAGTGTATTGGAAGAGTGGTAGATAAATTATGTCTGGCTTAGGAAATCCCCCAAACTGAAGGCATTCCAAGTCCAAGACAGCATTCAGGAGTGTTCTCATCCATATTTGTCATGTCCTCACTCTGTAGCATTTGCTTCTGATTACTGCTGAGCCTTTATCTGAATCTGTGTTGTCACTGTTAGCTGTCCCATATGTTGGAACTTTCCAAGAATGACATGCTGTGTAGGATGTAGGCAAACTGCATGGTGGTTTTTTACAAAGCAGAGCATAACAAGGTTGATTTGAAACTGTTTTTACAGGTGCAGGGTCTGAAAAAAAAAAACTCTATTCACCATTTTCATGTATGATGATATACTCCATATAAATGACCTTTCTAGTGTAATATGGCACAATGGAGTGTTTAATTAGAGATATTGTCACCATTTTTTTCTCAGAAATATAAAAAGACACAAATTATTCATCTTTTTGTCCATCTCTGGAGCAGTGATTCTCCTCCTAGCTCTGATTTTCTGCCACTGGCCGATAAAATGGAATTAGTAAATAAAGTAAATACAGAATACTTGTTCCAATTATAGATCTTTTTTTTTCTCCTTCAGTCTTTCCACTTTCTTTCTCACTTTGCTCCTATTTTCTTCTGCATGAATGTATCTAATCCACAGATCCCTTTCTCATTCTGTCTCTGCAGATCCAGAAATGTATGTTGAAATTTTATGTAATTAACCAGGGGCATCACCTACCTAAAAATTATTTTTATAAGCCAGCTACCCTTCCTTGTTTTGGCTGCACCAGGTGATAAACAAAAGAGAAGCAGTAAAGGTGGATGTGTGCAACATAAAGAATACTGTTTTCCTGTTCTTGATATATCAAGTTGATGGTATTTATATCTAAGATGGTTTTGGACTCATTCCAAAGTGTGCAATATTTTCATATCTTACAGTAAAAAATAAAGTGATAAACAATTTTCCCAGAATATTTTTGTTATTCAGCTGAATAAGAGGTATAATGATAGTTTCCATGCAGATGAGGTATTTAGCAATGTGCTTATTAATTACTTGTAATAATACATTTCTTACCACAAACTAGTGGGATGGTGCAGTTATGTATCATGGCTTGATCCCATTCTTACTGAAATAATCCATATTTATTTATCAAAGAAGTAGCAGGATCAGGAGTTTGTTCATGCAGTAATTTTGCTCTTCTAAATCTAGTAAATGTGGACCTGACCCAAAGATCACTGAGCACTGTGGGACATACCAATGGACTTAGGGTGAGAGAGTGTCCTCACAACTCTAGCTCCAAGGAGGCCATCAAAACACAGCAAAAGACTTAATTATATGCTTCAGAACGGGAAACTTATTTTCATATCTGATTCTTCCACTGGAATATTAATCTTATTCATTAGACTGGGTTTCTATTGCATCCAGATTGCCACCACATGGCATTTAAAACAAAGTTAAGATCTATTCTTCTGAAATGCAGAGTCACTTTCATTATGTATCAAGTACCTCTACATGATTTTTTTTTCTAGAAGTCTGAAAAAGATACATATATTATCTCCTCCAAGAAGAATATTCATTACATAATAGCAATAAGTAAGACTGATTTGCCTTTTTATGCTTTCTCTTTCTTCTTTTTTGCATTCTTTCTTCTTTCTTTCTTTCTTGTTTTCTTCCCTGAAACACAAACTAACTAATGTGATTTAAAACTGTCTCCTTCATTACCTGAGAAGGAGGAAAGAAGGCACAGGAGTATTCCATGCAGTAGGATATACCAAGATTCCAGACCAAATGTATGCTAGCAAATGAAGTAGACCTGGGACCATCCTCCAGCACTGAGACCAGCTGGTATGCAATGACCTTATCTACATTCTAGCTCCTAAAATGTGCCTGAAAGCACTTCTTGGTCCAGACCAAAAAAAGTTAAGTGGGGACTATTATAAGTGTTAAACACAGTGGAATGCATGTGTATCTGTGTTTGTGCCCCAACACTTTTCATTTTTCTAAGTGCTATAATTCGTGATGCATGAGAAAAAAGGGAGAAAAAAATAAACTAGTGCTCCTATGGGGTTCAAAATGAAACAAATCATAAAATCAGAAAAAATATTTAGCATTTAAGATTTTTTCCTGTGGTGAAAAATGTGTAAATCATATGTCCACGACATTGTATAGAGTCACTGTTCACACTGGAAGTAATCATGGGGCCTGCCTGTATTTCCTGCACGGAGGCTGGAATCAGCAAGCATGACAGGATCCAGATGGATAAAAATGAAGGGTCTCATGAACACCAGAACAGCTCAGAAGTTACCTCCAGTTCAGACTCAGACTGCCAGATCTCCCACGCTCTTTCAGAACTACTCAGTTTCAAACTCATCACAGTATATTAGTTGTGAGCAGTGGGCAGCAGTAGGCTTCGGGGAACTCCAAAACAATGGGGCAAAAGGTTTGACATGTAGCTTCTTCCCCCCATGCTGTTGTGTGGATATCCTGGACACTGTTATAGCCACTCAACTCTCTGGTGTACCTTGCCATGTTTTGTCAGCAAGGTCAGGCAGCAGTTGCAAAGGTCCTTCCCAAAAAGCACTGAACTAAAGACTCTTGCTATTTATTTTTTTTTTCAGAGGATTCAATAACTCTCCAATTTTAAAGTCATTGTCCACACTCTTGTGTGTTCTTATTTCACTCTTTCTACAATCTGCCTGAATCTCTAGGTAGGTTATGTCCAGCATTCAGTCTTAAAATAGGTTTTACTCATAGAAGTTGTCTGGGTGAGACTGTAATTCATAGCTATCTATTCTTTCCACATCTTTTTCTAGACAATGAAGAAATGCTTTATTATCCAGTTAGTTTTGTTCTGTGTATTCTGTGCTTTAATCAAATAATTTAATCATCTTTCTGTTCTCTGTATGATAAATTAAACAAATGGAATTCTTTACATAATTTTTTTGGATCACTTTCAGCTTTTCCTGCAGCGTTTCCAATTTTTCAATATCATCAGAAAAGGGAAGATGATCTGCACCTTGAAATCTGGTATTGGTCTCGGCAGAGATATGGATCCCTGTTCTCCCATGCCTTGTGCTGCTCACTCCTTTCCTGTTAATATACTGCAGGACTGCAAAACTCCTTTGCTGTAAAATTCCACTGGGAGTTTGGGCTGATCTGCTGATATGTTATGAATCCTAATTTCCTTTCCTGATTGCCACTATAGTAAATATATTCTTCAGTTAAATAAACTAGCACAATTTGCTCACAGGACTTTTGAATTATGTGTGTTAAAATACATTTATTTCACAAACCTGAGTATTCAATTTAGGCTGCCTTCACATTATTTGTCACTTCACCAGCCCTCCTATGAGCTCTTTCCTTTACATGCAATTTTATATTTACCTCCAGATCATCGACACAACCATTAAGTTATGCCAGAACAGGTTCTTTGGGGAACCCTACCAGTACTATTGCCAAATAAAAGCCTTCTTGGGAGTGTCTCAGGGAGCAGATCACCTACTCTGCCGTGTTGCTCCCAGAATTGATTTCAGAGTGATCTGGCTCACTTTATGTGAGATGAAAGCCAAGTCAAGTCTGGCATAAGGGATTGCCCCAGGGCCCTCTTCTTACAAACTATATGGATGAGGTTGTATCAGACTTGCCTTGCTCAGCTTGTTAGTCCAACCCTTACTCCAAAAAGCTTCGTGTCCCTGCGTGTCTCCACAAGCCCTGCCTCAGGCCACACTGCATGCATCTTCAGTATCATCTTATAAAAACACCATTTGCAGGAGTACTAGGAGTACTCAGTCCTTCATTTTCTAGGATGGCAACTTTAGTAGCACATGCTCTTAGATGGACTAAAGATGGAGGTGCTGGCTGGGAAGTTCAGTGTGGGTAATAGTCCACTACGGTCCCTGTGGAATTCATGTCTTCCTGTGGAATTCATGTCTTCCTCAATCCTCTTCTCTCCAAGGATACTTTTGAAAGGGAGCTGAGCTCTGCTTGAGCCCATCTTAGCAGGCACATACTGTTTCCAGGAGCATGAAGATGCAGGAGACACAGAGAGTCCTGAGGGCTATAACAGGCAAGGCTGACTGTACAGAGAAAAGGGTCCCTGGTACCAGAATGGGGCTGAGAGAAGAGGAAGAGACTAGCTGTTATACAAATGGAAATAACATAAGGTTATTAAGGAATCGTTTGGTCCCCTGCCTGCTGAAGGCCCTGTTGCCATGGGTTTGACAACAGCCCTTCTGCTGTCTTCTCTCTGTCACCAGAACCACGGTGGCAAACTTAACAGTCTCCTTGCCTGTGACGGGTGTCACAGGTTTGGACAAGGCCTTGGCCCAAACTCACAAGACACTTAAATAAACCCACATTTCTTACCTAGAAACCTGGATAAAGCATCTGGTTTTCACGTGCTTTCATGCTTTTGGATTTCTATACAAATGCCACATTGGCTCAGATTCAAAAAAATATGATTCCTGTGTCAAGATTTGTAGAAATGGATGCGTGTAGATGAAGGTTCAGTTTAACCCATCATCCAACTCTGTGGCTACAGCTGTACGGCAAGAAGGGAAGTACATCCTGCTCTTGACAGACCTATTCCCAGCTAGTAAATGAGAATGCTTCCAGGACTCCAGCATAAATTTACTTCTACTGTTCTCCTGTAGAGGATGTTGGGAGACAAAATGTGTATTGTTGCTAAATCTAACAGAGAGAAATCTCCACATGTTGGCATGCTAATGACATCCCAGTATGCTTTTGATAATTCAAGATCTCTGTGTGCATCTTTAGGCAAATGGCCTGGGCAGGAAAAGAACCACTCATCTGCACCAACACCATAAGTGGGACAAAAGCAACGTCTCTTTACCTTTCTGTAGATGTTAGTTTTTTCATGGCCTGTCTGTCTTCCTGGGACATCTCTCCAACCAAGGACCGGTGATCTACCAGCTGGTGGCAGCAGCAGCTTCTCCAGGATCAGCATGTTCAGCAAGATCACAGTTCCTGTGGACAGTAAATGACAGGCTATGTAAATACATGCTTCTCACTTTTGAGGAATTGAGTCATTGCCAGTAATCTTTCAACCTAACTATTTCTTAAAGCTTTTCTAATCCTTTGTCACCCCCTATGAACTTTTTTGCAGAGTAGTTTGGGAGTTATAATTGGCAGTTTGTGAAACATGAAGCTAAAGCATGATGACAATGCTGATCGAAGAATTTCCTAAGCCCTTTGGAAATAAGAGGAATAGTTCATTACCCATAAATGCTTTCCTACTGACCTTTCTTATAGCTGTATGCTGTAAAGAGGAAGACAAGTGAAAGTGGTTAAAGAAATCCTGAGGATTGACTGGAGAAGATGAAGAGAAGATGAATAAACAGTTTGCTTGCTGGAAGAAAAAAAAAAGTGTTTTCAGATTTGCAAAGAATTTGATAAATAAAACTTCAGTTGGTTCTGAGAAGGAGACCATGTTCCATGCTGTAAAGGAAATCAATGGCACCTGCAAGTTGGTCTAGGTAAATAACTCTAAAAGAGTTCCAGATCTAGAAGCTGACTTAATCCTGAGGATATTAGCAGAGTATGCAAGCCTTAGGATTTTAATGCCACCTATAACAATCTGTCTGCAGATCTGCAGAAGAACTTGAAAAGACCAGCAGAAGACAAAAAATGTATATATATATAGATATATATATATATACGTATACATATACCCGTATATATAGTTTCCAACTCCATTGGAAACCCTGAGGCACGGAATTTATTGTTAGTGAAATGTGAATCAACAGTGATCTAATCTCTTTTCTTACCCACTTGGAGATGCTGGCACATCAGATGCCAAGAGACTCATAATATACGCCTCGTTTTCTCTCTCTGAGCATTCTTCTATTCTATTCTGTTACACAGTGATGTCTGTAGGCTTCTCAGGCTCTGTCCCACAGGAGTGAAGGCTACTGCTTCCAAAACTTGGGAGAGTATTCTAGTCCTTCATTCATCAGATAGCTGAAAGCCTTTAGATTTCCAGTCCAAATGTATTCAGGATTAGTCACGGTGCAGCCATTTGATCATGTGATGAAGTCAATATCCCTCTCTGACATTTACTTCTCAAATACATTTATACAGTGTCACACCCCCATTCAGTCCTTTCCGGACTATACTAAATAAGACCAGATCTTCTAATTCTCCTAAGACAGTGTGCATTTTGTTCTTGTAAACATCCTAAGAGAGCCTGAGATGTCCTTCAGCAGCACCAGCGCGCTCCCTGTGAGGCTGCGGGCTGCTGCTAGATGGGAGCTTTGAACGCTGTCTAGTTTCACTAATCAGTGCACAATGGCTGGGCTTGAAATCAACTCCAGGTAAATATGCAAGTGACGTATCTGCCAGATGTCAATCAATGTTTTGTAGCATTAGAGAAGCAACTAGTTTTGCTCCAAAAAATAAAAAGGACAGTGTTGGAGATTGCAGAGCAGTTCAGTTTGACTTCTATACCTGGGAAACTAATAAGGAAGTATGACAATGAATATGGCTAAATCATCAAATCACATAGAATCTCAGAATTGCAGGGGTTGGAATCAAGAGAACAATCATTGAACATCCTGAGTTGGAACAGACCCATAAGCATCACTGTGGCTCCGTAAAGAACTACCCAAAGCTCAAACCCTATGTCTGCCAGCACTGTCCTAACGCTCCTTGAACTCCATCAGCTTGGGGCCATGCTCACTGCCCTGAGGAATCTGTTCTATGCTCACCGCCCTCTGATGAAGAATCTTTCCCTCATCCCCAGCTGCCCCTCCCCGACGCAGCTCCATCGTTCCCTTGGGCCCTGTCCCCATCACACAGAGCAGAGCTCAGCACTGCCCTGCATACCCTGTGAGGAGCTGCAGCCACCAACAGGCCTTCCCCCAGCTCCTCTGCTCTGAGCTGAGGAAACCATCGGACCTCAGCTGTTCCTCATATGTCTTACTTTCAGACCCTTCACCATCTTTGTGGCCCTCTTTTGTATACTCTTTGATAGTTCTATGTCCTTCTTACATTGTGGCACCCAAACTCAAGGTGAGAATGCATTAGCACAGAGCAGAGTGGGACAGCCCCTTCCCTTGCTCGCCTGGCTGTGCTGGGCCTGATGCACTGCAGGATATAGTGTGTAGGAGATGATGGAGTAAGAATTGGTGAAGATTCCATAAAGATCTCAGACCAAAATCTGTTAAGAGCTTTCTTGAGCCACTGATGATGTAGATAAGGACCGCCTAATCAACATAGAAGGATCCCCACTGTCAAGCTGTTTTATTCTGGTTTTCCTCAAGACATTATGGTTTTCCTAGAGTTGCAGCCATCAATATTCCATCCTGGACTAACCAACTAATTCCCTCACTGAGGAAGCCTAGGGCTGAAAAAGAAGAGTTTGCTACATCACAACAACATTTTTACCCTATAGGCAGCAGTGCACAGTCTGAACCAGATGTCACAGCAGCTCTGTGTCACAGCATAGCCCCATTTGTCAGGGCACACCTATCATGCCCTCACACCAACCCAACAGCTTTCTCATCGCCTCCACCATCCATCTTGTGCTGCTTTACAACTCAGGTGGCGACAAGCCACAGAGCTGCTGCTTGGCTCAGGTCTCCTTTTGCAGACCACCGGGTAGATAACTCAGCAGTCACATGAGGAAGGTAAATAACCTTCATCATGTTAAATTGATGACCACAGCTCCTACTGCCAACTATCACAGAACACCACACAGTGACCTTTCAGTCTGAAACATTAACGAAGCCTACACAAAGGTTCCCTCCAGTTGCTAATTGGCATTCTGCTTCAGCTCAACGTATGTGCCCCACAGTCTCGACTGGCACGAAATACTTGGGCAGGGATGGCTGCTGAGCATCCTGCTCTGCACAGCTGCCCACCAGGACTGTCCCGATCCATCCTATCCTGACCTGTCTCACCTTGACCTGTCCTGCCACACCACCATGCCTGCTCCAGCTGCAGGCAGACGGAACAGCCACGTCCTCCTGCCCTCCCCCTGTACATATTGCTCCAGTCATATAGTCACCAAAATGCAGACTGCTGTCTTACTGATTTAGAGCCCTTAATAATGCCATACTTGAAAAGCAAATATAATTCTGCTTCTTCTTGATCTTAAAAACAGCAAGATTATCTAACCTGTGGTTTATCAGACAGATCTGTCGTTTAGAAAACCTGGCAAAGACATTAGCTGTGTTTCACACCATCTGTTGATGGTGAATTATTACCTGCTGAATGTGGACTCACTGGTAAAAGCAAGTGGTTGAATAACAGCAAGAAGAAAGAGAGGGAAACAATCATCGAGATTGGAAAAGACCTCCAAGATCATCTAGTCCTACCATCCACACATTCCCTCCATGCTCACCAACCATGTCCCTCAGTGCCACATCTACACGTTTCCTGAACACCTCTAGGGATGGTGACTCCACCACTTTCCTAGGCAGCTGTGCCACAGACTCACCATTCCTGAGAATATATTGTTCCTAATATCCAACCTGGACCTCCTCTGGCACAACTTGAGGCCAAAAATGTGGGCAGACTCCAGCATTACTATGAAAGCAGGTCAATTACTCAGTTTTTGATGAAAACATATTGTATCCCATGGCACCTTTCAAAGTGTCCAGATGGTTTCCTTTGGACTTCTTTACGTAAGTGCAGTAGTGGCAACTCTTCAAAATCATAGAAAACGGGGATGAAAACACCTAGGGAAGGGGATGCATTGGATGGAAAAAAGTGCTGTGGAATGTTGACTATCTCTAGAGGAGTCTCTGCAACCTGTCTGGGCAACCTGTGCCACACAACAAGTGCAGGAGTGGGCATACACAGAGAAATGCATGGACATATATGCACCTATACCATTTGAGAACCATGAAAATCTATCCGTTTCTATAGGTATACTTAAAATGTCTGATATGCGTGTTATGCATAGGTTAAGATCACAGATAGAATAGGTATATTGAGTCGCGTCACTTTTGTGTGCTTTACAGGTGAGACTGTGTGTTTAGGAGTGTATACATACATATCTGCACCACGAATTCACACACAACGATGCGTTTCAGTCTAAGCACGCTCTCGCACAAGTGTACCACATATAACGGTGCCGCAGCAGCGCTGACCCCCGGCACTAGCCCCGGGACGCACTGCCGCAGCGAGAGGCCCCGCGGGCTAGCGGGCGGCCGGGCGGCGGCGCTGCGGAGCGGGACGATTCCGGCGGCAGCCGGCGGCTCGGCGCGGAGACAGCGCGAGGGCTGCGGCAGGGCCCGGCCGCAGCGGCGCCGAACAAAGAGCCCGGGCGCGTTGCGCCGCCGCGGGCGAGCGGGGAGCCGGTGGGAGGCGGGTGCTGGGAGCCTCCGCCGGTCCCCCCGCCCGGGGGAGGCGCCAGGCGCTCAAAGGGGACCGGCCCGCCGAGGATTGGCTCGGGTGGGTGTGAGCCGAAGGTGCCGGGGAGGCCATCTGCAGCGCGGGGGGAGGGGGTTCTCCCTTGCTCTTCCCTCTCCTTTTTTTTCCCCTTCTTTTTCACGGGATGATGGCCACGGCCGCCGGGCCGTGATGTCCCCGTCAGCAGCCCCTGCGCCGCAATGCCGCTCGCAGCAGCCCTAGCGAGGGGAGGAGGCGTTTGAGCGGCGGCCGCACGTCCTCCCGCGCCGCCGCCGCCGCCTCCCTGCCCGCCGCCCCTGCGCCCGGAGCCGAGCGGCGCGGAGGGGTCCCCGCCCGCGCGGCGCCGCCCCCCCGCCCACCGCCGGGGCTTCAGAATAAAGATAGAGAGATAGATATAAAATAGCGGCAGGAGGCACTGCGGCCGCGCGCAACATGGCCACTCTGCTGCGGAAAATCGGGCTGATCCGGCTACACAACCGGGACACGGAGGACCCCAAGCACCACCACCGCAGCAGCCAGCAGGGCTCCTCGCTCCGCGGCCGGGGCGGCCCGAAGAACGGCAGCAACAAGCCCCAGCCGCAGGGCTCCCACGGCGGCGGCGGCGGCTGCAGCAGCAGCAGCAGCGAGAGCAGCCCCGGCGGCCGCAAGACCAAGAAGGCGCCGGAGCCGGCCAAGCAGCCCCCGCCGCCGCGTTCGGGCGGCGGCCGGGAGAAGCCGCGGGAGGCGGCCCGGGAGCCCGGCGCGGGTAGGGAGGCGGCCCCGCAGCGACCCGGTTGCAGCTCCGGGCCGGGCTCGGCGCCGCTGGTGCCGCTGGCGTCGGGCTCGGGGCCGCTGGCGCCCGCGGGCCGGCAGCAGCACTGCACGCAGGTGCGGACCCGGCGGCTGATGAAGGAGCTGCAGGACATCGCGCGGCTCAGCGACCGCTTCATCTCGGTGGAGCTGGTGGACGAGAGCCTCTTCGACTGGAACGTGAAGCTGCACCAGGTGGACAAGGACTCGGTGCTGTGGCAGGACATGAAGGAGACCAACACGGAGTACATCCTACTCAACCTCACCTTCCCCGACAACTTCCCCTTCTCGCCGCCCTTCATGAGGGTGCTCAGCCCGCGCCTGGAGAACGGCTACGTGCTGGACGGCGGTGCCATCTGCATGGAGCTGCTCACTCCCCGCGGCTGGTCCAGCGCCTACACCGTGGAGGCCGTCATGAGGCAGTTCGCCGCCAGCCTGGTCAAGGGGCAGGTAGGGGCCGAGGGGCGCGGGGTGTCCGTGCCGCCTCTGGGAAGGCGGCCCCGGGAACGGCGGGGCTCTGCCTACGGCTGACCTTGGCCGGCCGCAGAGATGTGGGGCGGCACGGAGGGGCGAGGGGCAGGTACCCCGCCGTGCCCTCCCGCGTGTGTGTCGTTCCTCCTCTTGGCTCCGTTGCCGGTGGCGTCAAGGTGCGTGATGGTCGCATCCTGTGCCCCAAAGCAAGAGGGGCTCTGCAGCACCCACTGGGGCTTGGGGCTGGAGCCGTTCGCGTGCTGGTCAGCCGTGCCTGCAGAGCCCCATACTGGATGGCTTCTTGTGTGAAGTCCAGCCTTTGGTGCAGGGCTTTGTCTGCCACTATCCTCCACGGTGGCCTTTGTAGCCTGCACCTGGCTTTGCTGTGGCAGATCTGTGCCAGCTTCAAGTGCCACTGTCAAGAGGTAGCACCTCATTCAGGGTAACTCTCAGCTCCCTCTCTCCCCTCCTCAAAAGGCTCCTAGCTCCTCCAGGCCTCTTCTTTCATCTGTCCCCAGCTGAATCAACACATTCTGTTTCTTTTTTTTTTTTTTTTTCCTTCTGCAGAATATCCTTGGGAGAAAAGTAATTCATAAGATGTTTTTAGTAACTGGGTAACTACTGGTGGTGGAGCCCGTTGTCGTGGTCACTGTAGCGGGCAGTGTAGCGTACCCGTGGCTGAGTTAGGTGGTGTTTCTGCTCACCTCACAAATGCCCTTGAGCTCTATGCCATGCACAGCTCCTTGTCAGTCACTGCACGATGCTGTGTAACTTCTTGTATTCGTATCTTGGAAGTGAGGAGAAGAGCAAATAATAATGTATTTTCCATTTGCTTGGAAAAGAGAACATCACTCCTGTTTGCCTCTGCTTGGTTTGTCTTAAGACGGAAAATGTGGGTGTTCAGGGGACTCACTGATAAGTGGCCTTTTCTCCTTTTCCCTTGAATGATCTGGGCCTACTATGCTTTTTTTCCATCAGATTGTATTTTTCTCTACCTTTTATTTGAAGAGGTCAAGTTCTGTAGGTCACCTTGGGATATAAAAAACGCCTTCCAGGAGAAAAAAAAAAAAAAGCAACCTTCATTTACGTGGAGCCCATTAAGGTGTACCAAAGTTCTGCAACTTCTCCTACTGTGTCACACAATTTATTAACTCATCTCTTAGTTACAGTAATTATATTTCTTGTTATTTTTAACAAAAGCCTAGGAGGACAGTGCTAAATTTTTTTTTTTTTTCCCCCCACAACAGTTCAGCACATTTCTGGAGTATCAGATGTTGAATGTTAAATGGTTAAGATTTACTGACATCATAAAATGACTCAGTTAAGAAAAACACTGAGTTATTGAATTATATGATATATAACTACATATTTATTAATATTTCTTTCAAAATCCTGTAAGAGTTTTCCCCAAAGTCATGGTAGTTTCTGATACCGAAGGATGTTTATGAGGGCATCATTAGTAGACACATTTGATATATAAGAATTTCAATAACATTCTTTCAGAAGTTCAAGATGTTAATTATAAAAAGCACAGTGTGTGTGGGGTGAAATAAAAGGGTGAAATAAACGGCTGCTGGCAACTTAGTAGCTCGCTAGCTGTGAGATGCGTGTTCCTAAGTCTCACAGTGTGCGTTCCAAGCTAATAGGTGATATTAACAATAAATTCAATTTCTCAGTTGCAGATGTGTAATCTGCGATGGGCTGCCGCTCTGTAACTGTAGCCAGGCTCTGTGTAATGGGAGCCACATTTCTGTAATCACACTCTGGTTATGTAATCTTGACTCAATTGCATAATATGGCTCAAAACACAGCAGACACTCCTGGATCCCTGTTTTGGTTTTTATTGTAAAGGTGATATGCTTTTGGCTGTAATTTTTAGAAAGAGAATACAGCAGCAGAAATAGAGCAGTCGGAAGTAGAGGGTACTGTATTCCTCTGAGCTGCGGGGCTGGTTTCAGGTAAGTCCTGTCATGCTGTAGGCAGTCTCACTGCCCGCAGTGGCTCTTCCTGAACAAACAGCAACAGCTTCAGTCAGGGTCATGGATGAATTTCTGAATTAAAAATCAGCAGTAGTTAATGGTGGGTGCAGCACAGCTCGTGCTGAGGTCCAGGGCAGTCATCCTCAGAGGCAGCCTTGCCATGTGGGTCCCACTGGGAGCACGAGGCTGTGGGGACCTTTGGGAGAAACGTCACCCACGCATGGAGTGGTGATGTAGCATGAAATCATCATAAATAGTCAAGGCTGTGACACATCTGAGGGTGCGTGTCTGTAACACGAACGCAGATGTGAGTAGGCAGGGCTGAACTTTCCACCAGCATGCATCTTTCTTTTTGACAGTTTGAATGATAAAATGAAGGTGGTTGATTTCATTCACTATTTCTTTCCATTGCCATTTTGCAATACTAACTACAGCACTGCTGTTCTGTGCTGGATTTTAGTTCTTCAAGGAAAACTGTAGCTCTCTTGGTATATCAAATTGTTGACCTCTGAATGTATAGAACCTTTTGATTTATTTATTTATTTTGTTAACAAGGTGGTGGAAAAGCTCATGGAGCTGGCACGGAAAAGACATCTTGAGGCAATCAAGACTCTTGACAGTTTCAGATTTTTTGACATATTGCACACCTTTTCGCAGAGCAAAAGAAAAATTGAGATAAATTGTTTTGATGTCTCTCAAGTGAAACATCTAATTCAGGAGTTTAGTTTCTAGGAAGACTTCAACACGGATGATCCACAGCTTGAGAGGCTAGGTCCCAATTTCCAAACTCGAGCAGGAATTTTAACCTGTATTGGATTTTCGTGTAGCATGGGTGTTTCTCCAGGTTCCCCAGACAGGATCCGAACACCTCGAGTAACATTGCTTGGAAAACGTTTTACATTATGGGATGCGGAGGCACTCGTATTGGCCCAGTAACTATTTTGGGTTTCTCTCCATACCCTTGTTTCCTATTGGAAACCTTGAATTGCATTCTTTTAGATAGCTTTTGTCTGGAAGAAAATATTTTAATGGAAGAAAGATAATTTCTGTTTGAATGAAACAATTCACCAACCTCAAACTGTGCTTTTTTCAGTTTTTAAGGGAGGAAAAAAAAAAATGTTAATTGCCAAACAAGTTGGGGTTTGTTTGGTTGGTTGGTTCAGCTATTCAGCTGAATAAGTCAATTATTCACACAGCCCTAGTCAGTATCTTGAGGGGAATTCTCAGTACATCAAAGACCTAAGCCTGTTTATCTGTCTGGAATCCAGAATCTTATTTTATAAACTTGGTGTTGTCCTTAACTCAACTGCAGCCTTGGATTCAAGGGGACGGCTTTATGTTGAGTCAGCCACTCTGTGGCTTCACCCCCTTGGGCAGACACTTGGCCCCACTGAGCCCCAGTCAAGGCTGCCATCAGTCCGTGGTGGGGCTAGGAGCTAACCCAAGGAAATACTAACCTGGGGTGATGGGAAGAAAGTAATGTGAATGCCAGTTGTTGGTTATCTCGAAGGCAACTGTTCAGCAATCCTGCCCAGCAGGACCTGCCATGTCTGTCCTCTCATCTAGGCTTTGGGAATGGCCTGCCGAGAGATGCCCTCACAATAGTCTTTAATTAGTCTTTTAAACCCTTCTCCTTAATAGAAATTAAGGAGAGGGGTTTAAAAATGCATCTGTTGCTCTCAGTTTCCTGATAACAGTGTAGTTGTGATGGTAAGACTAATAACATGAGTAAGTGGGTGAAGGCAGTGACAGCAGTGCCAGTCATACGAGAGCACCGAAGGAATGGTAGGCTGGTTGTGATCCTACTGACTGACACGTGTGACCCAGGCTGGCACGGGGCTCAGGAGCTGGCTTGCATCTGAAGATGCTGCAGATGATACAGTCCCAAAGGAAAAACAGACTTTGTCCAAAAGTGGAAGAGGATTTTAAGTCTTTTAATGCACTAAACAAAATACTAGCACTTTATATTTAGAAGAAAAAGATACTGCAGCTTGTTTCCTTGGATAACGTTAGCAGGCAGTTGGAAAAATGAAATAAATCCATGTTGTTTCTCTTCAGAGAGGAATGATTTGACATTGGCTTAGTAGCAGCAGCTTCAAAGAGGACAAAACATTTTTTTTTTTTTTTTTTTTTTTTTTTTTGAAAACAGCTAATACAGCTGCATAGGATGCCTTGAGGAGTTTGTGCCTAAGCTGGCAACTGTTTGGTGCAGGCCTTCTTGTCCTTTTTCTGAGCTTCCTGGCTCTCTCCATGGAGGCTCAGGATAGGTCTACCAGCTGCAGGTAGCTGTCAGGTAGCTGTCAAGTCTGCAGGCAGGCTTGTGGAAAAAGCTCTTTTTGGAAAAAGCCCTCATTCTGCCATATTACAAAATATAAGGAGTGTAGGGATTTTCCCAGGGCATACTGAATGGGGAATCCGTAGTTATGAGTGCTCTTACTGATGTGAACCTCTCTGTAATGTTTTAAATCAAAGCCAAATGTAGTCTGTGATTTAGATGTAATTTCCTGTAGCAAAATTTTTTGAATTCAAATAATTTTTATTTGTGCATTGTAATGTTAGATATATCTCAGTGTAGCCTCTTCACTTGAAGAGAGATGTGCCTTGCATGAACATTAAACTCATCTCTCCTTCCATTTTAAAAACACTCTATCATAGCTGACTTCTACCAGAAGTGGGCTTATTTTATGAAAAAACGAACAGAAAACATAGCTGTTACTCATAGTCTAAATTACTCCCTCTCCATCCTCCCAAACAAAAGTGTGAGAGAGCAGATAGCAGATGGGACTTGCATGGTGTCCAGGATGTCAGCAGGCTCCAGGTCTTTCAGATACGTATAGCAGAAATTAATTGCAAATCCATGAGCTTTCCTACTCCAGATACTCAGTTTGAGGACTGTAGCCTTGAATAAACCAGCTGATCTCAAATGCTGCAGAAAGTTGTAGAGGACTCAGTGGCCTCTCAGTTATTTGGGGCCATCTTCATATTAGGACCTTAAAAATAAGACTGTGTTCCTTTTAGCTTTTGATTT